CCCTTCCCGCCTTTTCAACCCGAGCCTATCCATATTATTTGAATCAAGTTTGTATACAGTTCTAAAATTTTACATTCTAGATCTTATATATCTGAGAAATCTCTTCTGCTGTGAATTTAAAAAACAACAACTATAGAAGAAAACAAATAGCCGAATGGTTTAAACTGTGAATATACCCAATTCATCGAATCCTGCCACGAAGCAAGAGAACTATTCATATATACGCACTGGTTGTAATCTGGAAGGAAAAACAAATCCAGCCAGTGAAAAAAGAAAAAAAATCAAGCAAGAAACCACAAGAAAAAAGAGATCGTGCAAAATTGTTCTTCACAAGGGTATAAAAATCGGCGGTGTGCCTGTATGTAGCAAATTCAGCATGCTTCGCTTTCTCAACGTCTGAATCTGTTGCACATTTTAAGGTTGAACATGAATAGAAAAAAGATACAAAAGACAGCCTTATGTTGTAGCGTGACTTTGGGGGTTGTGACGACAGGAAGTTTTCACTACCTCATCACGGATCTTTATTATAAAAATAAGGAGGAAAAACAACCTGTACAAATTTTACATGTTCAAAAGGCACTTGGAAATAACAAAAACCATGCTTTTTGTTTTCATTTATAGCCAGATATGCCCTTTGATTTAAGGTTCATCCAGAATGACAATAATGTTTGAACAACAACTAGTAAGCAGTATTACAATGCACACTACCTAATTGGAGACTTTAAACGGCATGTATACAGCAAAGCAATGAAATAATAAAACTAGTTGTACGAACTAAACCATATTATTGTCATGTATTCACTCTGCCAAAGTCGTTTACGTTTGACTTTTACATCCATGTCAACCCAGGGCAAGGTATTCAGAAGGTAAGACCTCTCGTGTGGTGGACGACAATGGTAGAACAAGGAGGAAAGTGTTCAGAGGACTATTCGCACCTACATAAGACTTAGAAAATGTCTTCCAGGCTATTTTAATAATTCAATTGCGTAAAGTTACTCTGCTTTGATCAAAGTCGTGTTGACTTATCTGGTAAGTTATCGTATGGGTTGAAGCCCCTTTCCACCACTGCAAGGTCTTTTGAGAGGCGGGGGGTCTCCTTATTCAACGTTCCTTTCCAAAGGACAGAGAGTCATAAAAATCTCAAAACAAGCCAAGTTCATAAACGTTCCGTTATGAGCTTGAACTTGGTTCACCAGCCCAGTACCGTACCAACTGGTAAAACGGCGAGCTCCTGCCACATTCAAGGTTGTGACTTTTTTGGTCGATACGAACATGAAAAACACATTCGCACGACTTACCACACGTGTGACGTTGATGCGAGTGGGGGTGTCACTGTCAGTGTTTTCTCTGAATTTTGTACCTTTACATATTGCAGTCAAACACTTGCAGTTCATTATTTCAGGGAAGGCATAGGAAAGTGATTGTAACCACAAGATAATTTTATGTGTTGTCAAATTGTTCAATAACATGTATGTGTTGTTTCCTCGAATAGGCCTACGTGGATCTGAATTTTCACTCGGTGAAATTCAAAAGTCAAATGAAGTTTATAAAGCCATTAAAACAAAATCATCTTCTTTAAACTGTTAAACCAAATCAAATTCGTTTTTGAGACACCACAGTTGTATTGACTCTGCAGCGCTTACCAAGAATTTTTTTTGGGTCAACTATGTCTGAACCAGCTGACTCAAAAGTTTAACCATAAAGTCCATTGTCAAAATAGTGTGAGAAACAAATGCTTCCAGTTTGCAAAGCCGTAAACGAACGTTGGTAGGCCTACATGTCACAGTTTGCTTCCGTGTTTGCGTCACATAAATTTCGCAGAAGAATTCGTTGAACACCACTGGTTTTGCGTGTTCTTGGCGATGAAAAGACAAGGAAACCAAAGATCTTTTGTCTTCCCATTACGTGATAAAACTGCTCTGGCGCATCTGTAACACTGTATACATGCCTAGCTCGAAAGGGAATAATATGAGCCACTCCCACAATCCAGTTCTCTTAGTCCTGCCATCGAATAAACAGACCTGTGGATCTTGTGAACTGGTGGTCTATGGACGCTGCTCCACTGAAGCTTCAAACAACGCCAGTATGGTGACAGGGTCTCGATGGGTGACACATACTATAGTGTGTGTCGTCTGCCTGAAGTAACAAACACATTCCTGCACCATGAATTGTCAAAGCAGACCCCAGCAAAACAGGCTTATTTGACGGTTACAGTTGAGTTTAAACTTACTGCGAAAGGTGATAGAAAGTGTCACATTTCACTTAAACCGACGAGCAGATGCACGTGCTAAAAGTCTTGTCATGTTCATTCGCGTCTACACAACTTTATTTACACTTATAAAAGTAACGCTTTTTATTTCATCTCGAGTGAACTGAAAGCGGCGGGAAATAAGACCCAGTCCCGGTTTGTCATAGTTGGGGTAATTGTCAGACGTATTTGGCTTAGTTTCACGCCCCTTTCGAAATTCAAGATAACAAACTTGGAGAAATTCTTGTAATTTCTAAAACCTAATTATTACAACCCCAAAAAGCGCACTGAGCAGCCAGCTATCAGCGACAACTTAAAAAGCTTACTAAAGTCTTTCGAAGGCCATTTTTCAGTTGTTTCCAACTTAAAAAAACAACAACCCCACTGCTATTATATTATATATACAACAATGGGTCATGATTGTAAAGGTAAACAAAATTATACGTTAGGCAACTTTATCTACGTTTTCCTCACTTCATTTCTATTTAAGCTTTTTACAGAAAGAAGACAGAAAAAAAGTCAGCGGGTCTCACTCTGAACAGGGCTTCGTCCAGAGACAAAAGATTGCCTTCACACACAAGTTAATTCTCTCTGAGAATATTTTACTCTTCTCGCTTTCCCGCCCACACAGACTCCCTATTCAGCTGTTTAACACCTCAGCTAATCTCCTCGTCGTCCAATAGAATCCAAGACAGAAGCGCTGTCCGAAACAGAGCCCACACTGTTCTGACAAAAGACGTGAGTTGCAGCTTGATTTGTCTCCCTTGCTTTTTTCTGCTGGTTAAGAGGGCCAAGGGGGGTAATTGTGTCTATCCCATGGGGTAGTACTGTGGCCCGCCATTGTTACACATACCTGGGGAAAGAGGAATATAGAAACATAGAGGTTTCGTTTCCTTTTCTTGCATGTGTGTGTGTGTGTGTGTGTGTGTGTGTGTGTGTGTGTGTGTGTGTGTGTGTGGGTGTGTGTGAATATTTTGTGAGTCTGTTTATATGTGTGTCTACACATTTCGTGTGCATGTGAATGTGTGTGTTTGTATATACGTACACGTACATGTGAATAATTTGTGTCGTTTTGGGGGGAGGGGGGAGGGAGGTTACGGGGCTCGCAACTGCATAAGGTCATATGAGCGCGCCGGACACGTTAAACATTTCTAGTTCAGTAGGATAATTAATGTGTGTCTGAAAAGTATCCTATTAGGGAAATGGTCCGTTTAATACACGTAGACACACGACCAACTCCCACACACGCACGCGCGCACACACACACACTCACACAGAGAGAGAGAGAGCGAGAGAGAGAGAGAGAGAGAGAGAGAGAGAGAGAGAG